GGTAATGGGGTTTGTTTTTATTAAGAGAATATGGTAGGGATTCTAAGGCAAAGTCAAGGGCATTCAAGGGAGAAAACACAACCTTTTTCTTGACACTTTAGCCAATCTGAATGGGCTTTCTGTTCTAATGACTATGTCCTTGCCCAAAGGGAAAAAGTGGCTTTTTGAAATAACTAAGAAGAGCAAAAGCCTTTTACTCAAGAGTAGAAAAAAAAGAGGGTTAGAATGGGTAGAGAAAGACTTTCTTCTCCAGCTACATAGCTAGGGACAAGTGGGATCATCTTTAGGATCTGGGTTCCATCAACTGCAAAAATAAAGGTAACAGTTTTGTCACAGAGTTGTTGTTAAGATTAAACGGGGGCATGTACATTACAATGCCCAGCATGATGACTGACAACGTGTTTAGCCAATCAGCGTTAGCTTCCTTTCCTCCATTTTCTTGACCACCAGCATTATTTATCCCTGTAGTATATTCACTCACGAAATCACAAAATTTACCATACATTGTGTTAGACACTGAGGGTACAAAGATAAATAAGATACATGCTCGGTCCTCATAGATTGCCAGGTATTCAAAAAATATCTGTTGAATAAGGTTAGGTTACCCAGAGCCCGCTAGGAGAGACCGCATGGAACAAACAGAGATTGTAATAATTGTTATAAACAAATCATTCTGATGTAGGTGGGGAAGTAGAAGCAGGGTGCTGTGGAATCACGGGGGAAGGACTCCTGAACTCTTTCTAGGGAAAATGGGGAAGAATCACCAAAGGATGATTTTGATGGGTGAATAGACACGAATAGAAGTGTTCAGTGGAGCAGAAAAAGGAGAGGATGGTGGTAGACAAATCAGGACACAGGATGTGGAAAGGCCCAGAGAGAACGAAGGGTATGACGTGTTTGACGAAGTAGAAACGCAGTAGGAGGGATAGACTGCAAAGGACTTCCTATTGCAGCCCAGAGAGTCTGGGTTTTAATGCTGGACGAGTTCATCTCAGACGTCCATGTGCTATAGAATCATCTGGAAACACTGTTAAAATGCAGGTTCTGATTCAGTGGTATGTAGTTGTACCTGAGATTCCGCATTTCTAGTATGTTCCTATGTGATGCTGGAGCAAATGGGCCACGGACCATACAATGAGTACCAAGGCTTAGGCGTAGACTCAATATCTCCTCCTTAAAGAGGAGAGTCACATGACTAGATTTGTTTACGAGGCAGCGCAGTGTGGAGGATGGACTGGAGTTGCAGGAATTTTTTTTTTTAAGACTTTGTGTGTGTGTGTGTGTTTTAAGATTTTATTGGGGAATTGGGGAGGGGAACAGTGTTGGGGAATTGGGGAAGGGGACCAGCCAAGCTGTTCTTCAATCTTCGTTGTGGAGGGCACCAGTCACTATCTGGCTTCCCGTTGGCAGCTCATGGCCTCTAAGCTCAAGGTGCTGTGTTCAATCTTAGTTGTGGGTGGGCATAGCCATCATCCCATGTGGGAGTTGAACCAGCAGCCTTGTTGTTAAAAGCGCATGCTGTATCCACTGAGCCATCCAGGAGGCAGCTCAGCTCAAAGTACTGAGTTGTCTTAGTTGTGGGTGGGCATAGCCCACCATCAAACAGGCAATCTTGTTGTTACACCAGCTGAGCCATCCTGCCACATGTTGGCAGCTTAGCAATGGCTCCACTAGGGCACAGCATCACTGACCCATGTGGGAATCGAACCGGCGGCCCTGTTGCTCAGAGCTCGCACTCTTAAGCCAACTCTTAACTGAGTCACTTGGCCAGCCCTGGAGTTGCAGGAATTTTATCCATTCTTTCTTAATGGGGATCGCCACAATATCCCTGATGACATAAAACTAGAGGACTGCTGACTCTCACTTCGAACAGGCCTTGGAGATAATGTGGTTGAACTCCCTCTCTTGACAGAATACAAAAGGGAACTTTTAAAAGTCGACAGGACTTCCCCAGGGTCAGACAGCTTATTGGTGGCAAAGCTGGGGGTCGAGAACCCAGATAATCTATTTAACCATATTCTTTCTGCCAAATTCCCAACTCGAGGATATCACTTATATTCAGAGAGTTGATTCGTTAAGGAGTATTCCTTAGAATTATAAAGAAACAGGGATGCAGGGGGATAGTTCTTGGTCAGCCATTCTGAATTATACCATGTTTCCCCCCAAATAAGACTGGGTCTTACATTAATTTTTGCTCCAACAATCTACATTTATTCATTTATTCATGTATAAAAATCTACCTTTATTCAAACAGTCATGTCTGGCTGACGATCTTAACTGGATCTTATGTTTGGGGTAGGGCTTATATTACGAGCATCCTTAAAACTCATGCTAGGGCTTACTTTCCAGGTAGGCCCTATTTTCGGGAAAACATGGTAGAGGCCATGGCATACAATGTGAGCCAGGTTAGGAAAACTCCCACAATGGCAGGTTACCAGGCAGAATTTCTAAGTGTTAGATTTCATGTGACCCTTCTTTTTGTCCTGTCTCTTGGAAACATATCAGAAGTGCAGATTCCCTTGTGGGCAAGTAGGTTAATGCCCACCTGTTCCCGGCGGGTGCTCCAAACCTGCTTTGTACCTGTAGGAATGTTTGAATGGAGCAGGAGCAGGAGGTGGGAGAAAAGGACTAAGCATAGCTTACATGCCTACTACGTGCTAGATACTTTTTTGACGTACTAATTTAATTCTTACAAGTCCCTTACAAAAAGTGCATTATTATTTTGATTTCACACCTCAGGAAAGTGAGGAGAAAGGAAATGATGAAAAAGAGGAAATAGGGAAACAGAGGCAGAAGGGCCACAGGTATATAGGAAATGGAGAAGGATCCGACAGAGCAGAGTCATGTTAGTAATCTTTAATGCATGGGGCGTGGTGTCCCAGGAAAACAGCAGACTAGGGAGGAAGAACACATGACACTCAGTGGGGCCGAGATGAACAAACAAGGCTGTTTTAAGAAGCCACTTCTAGGCGAAGAGGGGTCTGAGTGACATGATTAATGTAGCATCAACCAGATGCAGTGTTTTGAGTTTGCAACAGGATCTTACTCCGTAACAGGAAGTAAATTCTGCCTGCTCATGAAATCACGTGTCCTCTGTGTTATCTGCTCAACGAGTGGCTGAGACATTGAGAAAGAGCTGACTTCAGTCTTTCTTAGAACTTGTGGAAAGGGAGAAGAGAAAAAGAAAATTGCTATTAACCACTGAGTAATCTAAATGCTACCACAGCTAGAATTTTACTTAGACCTAGCAAAGATGTGCTTTTTCATGAATACTTAGAAGCTGGAAGTTTTGAATGCCAATGATCTAACGGATAACTGTGACATGGCCAACTTTGGATGAGAACAGTAAAAGTCCTAAGAAATTTCATCTGCTTTCAAGGGGTAGGGTGAATGTTTCCAAATTCAGCAACAGAAGACCAAAAAAATGTTAAAGTCTTATTTAAAGATATCTTATATACTTCCTCTGCATTTTACCCCTACCTTACGCCACAATAGCACTTCAGACTTATTGATCTAAGCACATACTGACCCTGTGCTGAGCACTGTTCTATGAGTAATCTCATTTAACACTCATAACTCCATGAGGTAGGTACGATCGGCATATTTTATAGAAGAAGGAAGAAGCAGCTTAAACAAGAAAGAATTCTGACTGTTTTGGTAGACTGACTCCTCTAATAGGTCAAAGGGGATCCAGGAAGTGGGTGAATCCTGTTTTTGTAAGTGACAACGTCCGGGGAAGAGCTATATATTGTGCATGGACACGTAAGGGACATGACCATTAGCTGACAGTATAAGCAAAGGGGCTGCCATACTCTTCATCTGGAACTCCAAATACTCACCTGGATAATGACCTCTCAGCAATCCCCTGTGGTTACCTCCCACTCCTGCAGGCTCCCCAACACCTAACCAACGTTGGCATGAGACTGGGAACATGTCTAAGGGTTTCCTCTTACAGCTACCTTCTCCACTTTCATCACATCGATGAACAGCCTGGGTTGGAATCATGCAGTCGTCTAGAGACAGGATGTAGAGGGGCCAGGCCCTACTAAATGAAGCTCTCATCCGATACCACCACCTTTCTCTGGCAAAGCCAGGGCTGCTATCAAATCCAAGAATAATGTGCACTGTGGAGCTACAGATGCCGGGAGAAAGGCCGGCCGCCATAGCTTACCTTTCCTCTTTCTGCACTGTTTGCGATATAGAGACCCTTCTTCTGACTTGGGGTCAGAGACAGTGCAGGGGATGACAGACAGAAGCTGCCATTAGGCAACAGTCCCAGAGGTGCACAGGCTAAGTGACTGTTTCTATAGAGAATGTCTGTCCACTGTGGCAGTGAGACTAGATCCCTTTATGATAGTTACCCTTGCTCAGTCATCGGCGTGATGGTTGCAGCCACAAGACCTTGAAGTCTCTTCTTCGGGGAGGCCATTGAGCTGCTGAAAAAAGTCTGAAAAACATATAACGTAATTCCTCTCTTCTTCAAGGAATGTCCATTAATGATAAAACTCCCGGGCAAGGTCCATTCCCAGTTTAGAACTGTGAAAAATGCTTATAACCAAGCATGCAAACATGCGGAGAACAAGTGAGAAGGCTGGAAAATGTTAGGGCTTAATTCTGTAGGAGGGGAAACTGAGTTTTAAAGACAGGAGAGCAAGGTTCTGCGGAAATACCATCAGAAAGGCCTCCCGTTTCATCTATCTAGGCAATCTAAAATTCAAAGAGCAAGGTAAATAACAGCAGACCCAAGAAAGACCACGAACCTAACTCGGGGAGCTCAAATATACAAGTATAAAGAATTACTATTACTAAGTAGAGATATGCTCAGGACAAAAGGGACTTTCTTGTCTTCTCCCATCTCTTCATTCTGTTAAGCAAGACTCTCACCTAAAACCCAGCACTTAGAGTTTTAAGGCTTCAGTGAGATCTATATCACTATCTCCAGATGTACCTAACAACCCTTTCAGATTCTAATTTTGACCCGTTTTGTCCTGTTTTCCTAGCTCTAGTAAACCACGGAAAGGGAATCACAATTATTTATTCACCTCTCCCCAACCGGACTAAAGTTCCCCAGGACAGGGAATATATGTCATTCACCTTTGCTTTCCCTGCACTGAGTGCTCTGGGGACACCTCATGTCCAATTAAAACTTGATGAATTCTTGCTTGATCGAATGCAGCGTTCAGACTGCAGCTGGATTATGACTTTCACAGATGGGCAGATCACTCCAGAGTCAACCTGACCTCACTTATTTGGGGCAAAAGGATCCCTTGCCATCTGTCAGAGGCTGTATCTGTCCATAACCAGTGTAAAAAAAGCCAAGAAATTGTCCAACACGGGTAACGGGAGGCAACAGAGCATCCTGGTTAATAGCCTGGGGGTCCACCGGCAGCCTCCCTGATTCAACTCCCAGCTCTGCCACTTGCTCGTTATAGAAAATGTTGGCTTAGAGCAAATACAGTGATGTCTATAGGTAACCAACAAGAGAGGGTATATTATAGTTTTGAGGACACTGGCACATTTAAAAACCCATTGTGACTGTTATTTAACCTCTCTGTGCTTCAATTTCCCCTTCTGTAAATGGGGATAATAATCATCATATTTCATAGGGCTGCTGAGAGAATTAAATGAATTAATTCTTGTAAAGTGATTAACAACAGTGCCAGACACATAGCGGGTACAAGTTCGGCTCCCTCCATGAAGTCTGGTCTGATGGCTGGAGGACATTATAGCAAGTACTAATCTCATTACTCCATTAGCTCTTTCCTGTCATCTCAGCTCTACTCAGCTCCCCAACCCTAACTGCTCTTGCCTATTCAGGGACTAAGTCATTTCAATTCTGTTATCTTCTTTCCTGCAACTCTTCCCTCCCCTCTTACTGCCCCTCTCATAACTTAGCCTTTATTGCCGCTTATCTACACCAGTGGGCACAACCCAAGTCCAAGAGGCCCCTGGGGCTCAAGGAGTTTCGAGTGATGAGTCCGAAGAGTTGGGCTCAGCACTAAAAGTCTCCTAAATCGAACAGTACTAGGCTGTTCACACCAGACTTCCATATTCTTGTGCTTTCGGCTGCATTTATTTCATTCTTAGGGCAGGCATACTGATATTCTTACGATGGTCAGAAGCTCAGACTGGCAGTTACAGATCTGTCTTGGAAAGAAATCAAGTGATTTAAGTATAGTTTGATTAGTTGAAACTTTCTAAGCACGAGGTCTGTGGGGGTGTGGAATAGGAGTTGGGAATCACTGTCCTAATCTCCACTCTCTTCTCCTTCAACCCGCACAGGCCGCCAGCTTAATCTTCCAGGAGCACAAACATGTATCCCAAACTCCCTGATCTGGGTCTCCGTACAGGTCTCTTCACGCCTGAAAGTGCATCAGCCCAGCTGTTCGCTGTTCCCTGTCCTGTCCGGCCTGCCTGCCGACATTTTTTGACCTTGCCTTTGCCCTGCTCAGGAAATGCCAGCAACTTCCCTCCTGGCTTCCATAAAACAAACACCAGACTCCTGGGGTTTGGGTCTCTGAACAGATCTCTTCATGCCTGAAAGTGCATTAGCCCATCTGTTCCCTGTTGCTGTTTCTTCCGACCTGTCCCCTCTGGCCTGCTTGCCTTTCTCCTGTGGTTCTCCCACCTGGAATGCCATCATATCCCACTTCAGTCCCTGCAGTCCAGCCAACTTCTAAAGCTCACTTTAAAAGCTAGGGAACATGCCCTGATCCTCCAACATGAAAATAATTTCGTACCCCTTAGAATTTCCCCCAAACACTTGCTTTCTATTAAAAACCCTGACATCAGAGTTGTTAGCAGGGAAGTTTTGCCACCTCTTCTAGACTGCAAGCCATCTGGGGGCAGGAACAGCTTACACATTTTTATCTTTGCACAGAGCAATGCACTAAATAAATGAGCAACATCTGCAGACTTTGTGAACCGTAAAACTCTTACAGGAAGAGATGGGGTACAAAAGATGGCAACAGCCTGTAAATGGTGCGTCATCGATGTTTTGTAAATTTGAGCTTTAAATAAACATGGTAACGGTATGCTTTGTAATTCTTTATAGCTTGTTTCACAAGGAAATGATTAAAATGTTCTCCAGCCTAAGACTTAATGTGAATTTAGAATGTTATTACTGAAAACACTAGGGAGGGGATATTACTCTTGAAATCTTTTGCCTCTATCCACAGACAAGAACACTTAGTGCGAAGAATTCAGGTTGACTTAGTCAGATTCTCTGAAAAGGGAAAAGTTTCAAAAAAAGAAAGAAAAGAAAGCAATTTCTTGGGGGAGAAAGAGGATGTAGTTCTGGTCAAGGAGAATGACTTGACAGAAATACTTGAAGAAGAAATGGAAATAGAGAAACTAACAAAACAAAACCCACAGATACACAACCGATTTCCCATAAAATGAAGAGACTACAAAATTTAATCGCTAAACTGTTCTGCTCAATCGCTGATCCTCGTCATTTTGAGAAAAGGCTCCTTACACACCCGCTGTGCGGTCTGGAAGGAATCCCGGGGAAGTGGGTCCCTTTGCCCCAGTGTGTCCCGACTCTTGCACCAGATCCGAGGGTGTCGCCTTCACACTACCTTTGGCCATAGTTCCCAGATTGTCTGCCTTTCCCTTTTCCTCTGGGGCAGTCACCATCTCACCCACCCCCAAGTCCCGTCCCTCGTGGCCCCTCTGCAGGAATCCCCTAGTGGCCTGTCCGTCTCCGCCTATCCGTCCACGCCAGCTCCGGCTGCACTCACCGAGCCGCTAGGGGTCCGCCTCCCTCGCGGTGACAGCCGCCGCCGCTCCACGCAGAGTCTTGGCTCAGCTGGGTCTCTCTTTATCTCCGCAGGGGCCTCCGGCCTCCGCACCAGGCGTCCGCCGCGCCCGGGGACCTTGGGGACTGTAGTTGGGCGCCTGCGGGTCAGGGTCGATGCGGACGCGCAGAGTCGCGGGTCCCGCACCCCAAAACGTTATGCAAGCGTGGCGTTTGCGCCCCTGTTGGTGTAACCCGGTGGATGTGGGCTGAGGGATCACCCGCGCGCCGCCTGGCTCCCCGAGAGCTGCGAGCAGCCGCGCATGCAACTCCGTGCCCGGAGCGCGTGCTCACAAGCTGCTGGCTGCAGCCTGTCCACGCCTCCCCCGTCCTTTGGGCAGTGCCGGGCCTCCCCCTGCGCACGCCTGGGGGCTTTTCCGTCTTGACCCTCCTTCTGTCCCGGGCCTTGCCGCAACAGATATTTCGTGGTTCTGGGCTGTGAACTTCCCGCTGCTGTTTAAAAACGTGCTTCTCAGGCTGTTGCCATTGCCCCAACTTCAACATGTTAAAAGGAGAGATGAGCCGACGATATTGAATGCGGATTAGGTACTTATGCAGAAGCTTTTCTGGTGTGTTCTTGAGAACAACTGAAAGGGTTTTGAAAGGCAAAAGTATTTTTAACCAAAATACCTCCACTGGCAGGAATGTCACGTTTATATGTTCTACTACCATGTACTATGTTAATAAATCAGAAGCACAGCCATAAACATGTCCTCAGCTTTTTCTTGCTGATTGACCTCAGTTTAAAAAAAAAAAAAAAAGGCCATGGCTGACGCTTACTGTGTCATTTAGAGAAAAGTTCCACAAAGGCCTTTCTAGTTTGCAAAGTGCTTTAAAATCCATTATCATCGTTTTTTCATTGCACACAGCACTGAAAATCAATTCATTTATTACTTCATAAACCAATCCTAGGTGGTGGGCGCTACTTTTCTTAAATTCACGTTTGACGCATGAGGACCCATCGTCCCACTTTACAGATCAGAAACAGAGGTTTAAAGAGCTTAAGTGATTTGTCAAAAGCCATAGAGCAGGGGGTGGTTGAGCTGTGATTTGATTTTAAGTAGTTTGGGAGCTGATACTTTTAACCACCACTCTGTATCTTCCTGCAAAAAAGGAAGAAAGGAAGGAAGAACAGAGGAAGAGTCCTGTTTACATCTGTCTGTTTTGTAACATTAACAAGAATATTCATATCCTAATGGAATGATGTTAGTAATGTTTTTCAAAGTCACACTTTAATATATACGCCAAATTAAGTGTGTCAGTACCCCTGAAAGTATAGGTCATTAGGCTTAATACTATTAACCAATAAACCAATATTCTAAATGCTTAGATGCCTGCTTATATAAATATGGTAGTACGAAGCAATTCCTTTTAATAATGTGTTAAGGTTTGCTAAGAAGCCAATGCTAAAGTGGGATTTGATGTGCAGAAGATGCCATTGGGGGAGGAGATGGAGAAGTCAGGGAGAGTCTTCAGATTGACCTGCAGACCTGACACCTGTAGAATGAGAGATGGAAGGAGACAGGATGCCCCATCTTCCTGGGGCAGTGGTCCCCCACACTGCACCATTGATGAGGAGGTTTGAATGGAGCTCATTTGAATGGGAGAGCACAGCACAGAATCCACTGCGTGCTCTTAAGAAACACAACCTCTGCTGTGAATTGTGGGAAAGATATTTATCTTTAAAACTATGCTAAGTGCAGTGATAGACCTGTGCAAGGATATTAAGAAACACTAAAGGGAGACTGTAATCTAGGCTGAGGGGTGACTGTGTGTGTCTGTGTGCGTGTATGTGCGCGCGTGTAAGGCAGGAGAGTGTTTCAGAAAAGTCTTCCTGGGGGAAGTGACACTTGAGCTAAGTCTATGACAAAAGTAGGGCTTAGAAGAAGGGAGAGACAGCAAAAGGCTTGCTACCGGCCTGCAGTCCTCAAACACTTTGCTGATGAGTGGCAAGGGCTCTGGTGACATTTCTTCTGTTGTTGTCCAGTATTTTCAAATCATCACCACTAACTTTTCATGCTTTTATCTCTTGATAGGTGCTCAAGGCAGGCACCACGTCCTATTTCTTTGTTTTTCCCACAGTGTAGAGCAGAATGCCTATCCACTTGCAGGACAAGAGGGTGGGATTAGAGAAATTTACTCCCTCCAACTCTTCTTCCTCTTTAAAAAATATATATATATATTGGGGACCCATACCATGTTTTGTTCACTATAATTCATGTTCGAAACCCAGTGATGTAGAGGAAAGAGTTTGGGGGATAGAGTGCATTGTAATTGATCAGACTGGCCACATGTAGGAGCATGGAGCCCCGTCACAGGCACCTAAACTGACTACCGGTGAAGGGTGGCTCCCCAAAAAGGTTCCCTCATGTTCTTGTAAGGTTGCCCTCCAGAAAAGAAGAAATAGATTTTAGACAGCCAAACACTTCTATCTTGGGGCTCATCCACGGAGGAAAAAGAATGTCAGTTGATCTTGAAGCATTGCCCTCCGTTGTGAACCAGAGAAAGACAGGTCCCTAGATGAGCAAGAGTCCTCTCCATTCAGGGTAAAGAACACATAACCAGGTCACAGGCATGAGACTTACTCCTGGAAATTCTGGCTGTGTGGCTGTGTCAGTGGGGCTGGTAGAAAAGCTGGGGTTTATTCTTTCATCGGAGTCCAGATATTGTCAGAGAAGGAAGCAAGCCATGACTAGAAGCTGGACTGATGGCCGGTCCCCAGGACAAAGATCCTTCCTTTATAGGGTCCAACTTCTGAGGCTGAGTGACAACTACTAGAGGGACAGCTCTGGAGGGGAGAAAGGTCCCATGCATAAACTGGGTTTCAGGGAACCCTTTGGGGGTCAAGCAAAGGAAGTTTTGAGAGCAGAATGGGGCAGCCAAGTTCAGCTGTCTCTCTGCTCAGCCCTTTGGTGAACACATCCTGGGTTCCTAAGGAGAAGGAACCTGAAAGAAAGAGAGAATTGAACAGGAGGTGCACTTTCTTATTTAACACTTTTGACCTGAGATTTGTGACACCAGACTTTAAAAAAAAACCAAAACCAGCTTTGTTGTGATTTCGTTCACTTACTAAATAATTCACCTATTTTAACTGTACAATAGGTCAACAGTCTTTTTATTCAGAATTGTGCAACCATTGCCACAATTTTACAACATTTTCATCATCCCTCTCCCCCAAACAACCCATACCCACTCGCAGTCATTCTCCGTTCCCATTTTCCTCCCTGCCCCCAGCCCTAAGCAACGACTACTCTTTCTATTTCTATAGATTTGCCAATTCTGGACATTTCATAGAAAGGGAATCATAATCGTGTGGTCTTTTACGTCTGGCATCTTCCCCTTAGCGTAATGTTTTCAAGGTTCATCCATATTGCAGGATATATTACTACTTCGTTCCTTTTTTATGGCAAAATAATATTCCATAGTACGGATATACCACATTTGTTTATGCATTCATCAATTGATGGACATTTGAGCTGTTTCCACTTTTGGGCTATTATGAGTAATGCTAGTATGGTGACTGTAGATTTTACGTCTCCTGGAATTATGTAGTGTCCTCATTTTCAGTGGAGTAAGTCTATAGCATTCTGGCCCCTGTTCAGTTCCTCAGGGGCCCCAAGTCCTTACCAAGATCAGGGTTTTACACATGCCCAGGAGGCTCTTCCTCTGACTGATGTCTACTCATAGTTCAGATCATGGCTCAAATGTAACCTTCCTAAGAGGTTACCTCTCGCAGACCCTCCCAACCTAGGTGACACCTCCTCCTCATAGGACTCCATGCTTTCCCTTCTTATCACGGCTTATTCGTGTGTTTAGTTCTCCCCATTAGTTTCATGAGGACAGTGGTCTGTCTGTTCTGTTCCCTGGGACACACATAGTGCCTGCTACGTGGTAGGCCCTCAGTAAATCATTGCATTAGTATGGCATGCAGAATGAATGCTGATAGCTGAGGGCAGTATGCTAGCTCTGTGGCCTGAACATAGACTTCAGCACTCATGGGAGGAGGGTGCCTCCTTGTTGGCTGGTGTTGATGCAACAGTAGGGGCCCTGGTGGCCAAGAGGGATGGTGTCAGCATACAGAATGGGACACTAGGGGGCACGGAGGACACAGGAGCTGGAGGAAGAGGACTGCGATGCCTCTTTGAGAATAGGAAGGGAGGGGTTCTTGGCATGGATTAAATCTGGAGATTACCGCCTCATTCCTGATGTTGAGACCCTCTTTCTGAATTGTATCTCTGGATTGATGTGCCAAGAGGGTACACACATTAATGTGTCATCCCCTAATAATTGGAAAACCTTTGAAATTTTAGGCCTAGTTTAACTCCTAGAAAGGGGGAATTCTGAGGGTACCACAGGTTGAAAACAGAAAAGAGAGTTAAAAATTAATTTTGCTTGGCAGGGCTGCTTTGACAATATTCAAATAACTACAGAGGCAAAACTTCCTTTTAAAGGCTGTTCAGCCTGTATTAGCTATTGCCTACATGAACATTAGGCCTTCGGGAAGCAGGCAAGTGAGTCTATTCTACTTGTGTCAGCAGCCAAAATGGTTCCCCAAGGATCTCAGAGAGGAAAAAAAAGCATCCCGGAACTCAGTAGCTGCTCGCATTATGAATAAGGTAAAAAAAACCTCATCACTAGGTGGCAGTCTATCAGCAGAAATTGCTTTCTCTTTTAATGAAATTATTCCAAACTGCAAGTTTCTGGAACTATCAGTAAAAATAAATCTATTAAATAATCTCTTCCTGATCCCATTTCCTCATCCTGTTTTTCCCAAAAATCTATGCAGTTGATATCTTCAATTTTAACATTTTTCTTTAATCTCCGTCTGAATGTTAAAATAATGAAAAAATAATGTACAGAAACAGAAATTACACATGGAAAATTAAGTCCCTCTTGCCCACGCCAAATACTGGTTCTTTGGGTTTTAAAGATAAACGTGGCTAGGGCCGGCCAAGTGGCGCGATGGTTAAGAACTCGCTTGGGATGCCAGAGGGCCCCGGTTCGGATCCCACATATGAGGGCCAGTGACACTGCCCTCCACAGCTAAGATGCTGAACAACAGCTCAACCTGGAGCTGGGCTGCCGTGAGTCGCCAGCGATGGCGAAGGCTGCAGCCCCTGTGGCAGTGGGTTGCCATGGGCTACCTTGTGTAGCCAGTAGCCAGCGTGAGCGGCCAGTAGCCAGCGTGAGCGGCCAGCAGCCGCCGTGAGCGGCCGTCCAGAAGCCGGCGACTGATCTGCCTCACCTGGGAAGAGCGCAATGATGGTGCCAACTTGGGCCAGTGAAGCAACGTCCTCCACAACTAGACTG